ACATTTTCAGGCAATACCTGAATCAACATTTTCAGTCCAAAAAACAAAAAACCTGAATCAACATTGTTCTCCTTTCTAAGCTTCTATATCTGGCTCCTGCTTTATTTCCTTAAATTTCTCAATAGGACGACGAGACAGTGAAAATGGCGAGGGCATTATTTTATCCGCATCCACAAGTCTATCTGATTACTCTGTCTCATGCACACAAGTGGAGAGAAAACACAAATCACTGCTCATTTCAAATCTTCCTGCTTCTAGAATTGGATGCTACACTGTGCACCGATTTCCAATAGGCTCTCAGCAATAATTCTTGAACTTGTACAATTACCCTGCAGACTGCTGAAAAATTCTTAGCATCCAACCAATTTTAGGAGTCCTCACAATAACCGGAAGTAATAGAATTATCAGCACGCATTGCAATTCGCAGCCATGCCTCTGCAATTCGGCTCCATTAGGAGATACGATTGTCATTCAAAAATAAAGTTTACATGTTACACATACTACTACTAATTTGGTTCATAGGGTTCCAAGGGAACAATACTTTTCTACAATTATTTGGGCTAACATACTGGATTCAAATATCAGGACTATATAACAGTTAAACAACAACCACACAACTTTTTTACACGCTACTGACCGGAGCAGACCATCATCTTGGCTGATAAGTGACCACAATGATTATATGCCATTTCTTCAATCACCACATGACCGATGTTCTGCAGAACTATTTACCCTAAATACATTATCTATCGGGCACAACCGTACCTTAATCATTAACTTCCCTGCTTACCTTTTTACGATCTTATTTCCCACCTTGCATGACACGGAAATCCAGTTGATTACTAGAGGTTGTTCCCTATTTATTTATTGCTCCTCTCGATTCAAAAGATTAGCGCAATCTACTTGATTGTGATATAGCGGTTTGTGCCATGTTTGGCCCAATGGTCCTTCAGGTCAACTGGGTTAGACAGATCATGTCCCTCTGCTGCAAGCCGGCTAAGCAGCTTATTGAAAGCGCCTCCACTCATCTTTCGCCCACCAACCCTAGCATGCCTCTTGTTGGGTACAGCGGGAAGTGGATACATTGACAGAGTTGTTGTGCAACAAGCAGACTGCCAACCCCCATTACCCCATTTGTAGCACTGTCTCAGAACACTGGTACAAGAGCATACAGGTGCTGGCATTGTTGACTCATCATACACTACCTGGTTCAACCCCAAGTCTTGACCTTTCCAATCTGCCTTCGATGACCCTAACTGCTTGTTAAGATCATCACCTCCATTAACCATGTCCTGACCACTCTTCCACTCATGGCCCTTGCCAAACATCATCTTATTTAAGTCTTCACCCTCCCTCTTGACCTTTTTTGCAGCTCTTGGTGCCTTCTTACTAGGTGAAACTGACTTACCATCCTTTGGTCGCTTGGCCCGCCGTGATTTCCCTGTTTCATTCGGCATGGACGCTGTTGGAAGGTCATCACCAGTGTGTATTTCCCGTGTGCTGTAAGAAGTATCACCCATATGAGGTAAATGGTGTACTTGTTGCTGAGGATGATGCACATGCTTGACACCTCGGGCTATTTGGCATCCTGGAGGACAAGAAGACATGCTACCATTGGCTATGGAGTTCTCTCGATACTGAAGGGTAGCAATTGCATTATCTCGTTCCATAATGGCATTGTTCCGTTCTGCGATGGCAGTATCTCGTTGCAAGAATGCCATATCACGCTCTGCCATGGCTGCCTTTTTTTCAGAAAGGGCTAGATTTCTCTCTTGAATGGCTGCATCTCTTTCGGCCATAATTGCCATAATTTGCTTCATCGAAGGTTGATGTTGCATCAACCACTGCAACAAGAATACGGAGATCAATATAATTAAAGATGAATTTTTTGGAAGGAAATACATGCCACACTAAGCAACTAGTACTTCATGCAAACTTCAACAGGTGAGTACGTCAAATGAGCAGAAAGTTATTTCAATATACCTGTCCCTGAGCTGATTTATATTGATCAGCTTTGTGCCTCCCATTTTCACGATGCCCAGCATCATCCATCAGAAACCCACAAATGGACACAAAAGGTAAATACTTTTCTAGGCCTTCTCAACCAGCATAGAACGTGGTCTATTCAGCAATAATATGCTACAAGTCCTGCATATAAAAAAAATATACACACACTATTACTAACATAATTTAAGCATCTCTTTCCTGCTTCTGTTTTCTTGGGGTCATGGGGCTCGAGGGAAAATGAATTTCCCATTCGACAAACCTACACCTCTAGATCGCCAAAAAATGACTGCTTCAGAGATCGAATAACTTACCATGATTATAGATAGATATAATAAAAGCAAAAGATGAATGCACAACTGATTAAAATTTCCCCTGCATATAAGAATACAACATACGTAAGTTAAAAATGAAGCACAAGTATTCCAACTTGCAAATGACGCTACCTATATAGGAATGCAACATGCATGGGAGGGCGGAGTTACAGAGATATCTATTATGGTGTGTTAGGTTACTTCCATCCAAGCATTAGAGTGCAAGAGTTGTCAAAAAACATTTCCAAAGCATGAAATTATTTAGACTAATTTACATGCTACGAAATTTAGGGTGCAGACCTTTAATTTAAGGTCATCTGTGGTTGCATTGAGGTAAACGGATTGCGTTTTAAAGGAGTAAAAGATATGCAATATCATATATTTATTTATGATCATTCAATAATTTTAAATCTCTTTCTTTTTTTCTCAAAACCCAGGCACGAGAATTATTCCTTACAACAAAATACTTTTTTTCATTATATTTTTCTTTCCATTCCATACCATTCTATGCACCAGACATCTTACTAAATACCCTCTATTCACGATACTTGACACAGTTGATACTCAACAAGCAACAACAAAACGCACAAAATAAGAAACATTAACAGTGGATGAATAAAGCATGCAACAGTTGTGGAAAAGGAGAGGAGAGGCTGACTGATCCGCATTTCGATTCTCATGTATTGAACACAAAATGCATGATAAAGACTGTAAATTGTGGAACTAAGGAGCGTAAACAATTAACTGACAAAAGTCCCCATTGTACTTTACTTACAACTGCCCGGTCCAAAAAGGTCAAATTCTGTTTCTAAACTTAACTTATTGGCAGGAATGAGAGTTTCAAATGATATATTATAATTTCAGGGCAGCGATTGTTCTATTTCATAGATTAGTCAATAGTTAATGGCGATTGACCTTATATTTGAGGTATTGATTGAAAATTAAGCTGCAAATCTAAAATAAACAGCTGGAAGGGTGAGTGCAATAAAAGCATGTCATGTAATACAATGACTCTATCCGAAAACTACTTCATGTAGTACAATGCCTATTCAGTGAACAACTTCTTGTGTTGTTGTCCTTTTTTTTTTGTGGGGGGGGGGGGGGTAAAAATAAAAGGGGTAATCATGGTTTGAAGGAATTTATGGAGATGAACAGGATAGCAGTAAAACAGCATATGAAGAAGAGGGGAAGGGAAGAAAATTGTTGTTAAAGGTTCAGCTACCATTGCCTTGCTTCGTCAACTGCTCTAACGTCTCTATTCTCTAAGTGCATATTTAATAAGCAACTTAAACTTACGGCAAATGAGCAGATGTGTGATTGAAGATCAATAACGAAGTAGACAAAGCAAAGTTGCTTACTGTGTACCATAAATCTTAACCATTTCCCTCTTTCTCTGAACGTCAACGGTGAACCTATCGAAGTCAAATGCATTTCTATTTTCCCAATTTGATAATAATAATCAAAAACCAGTTTGGATCAGGTCCTCCCTCTAGTCCCAGAGCTAAGGAAGGTCCAAATTCGATTAACATAAAACTCAAATTGCTCAAAACGTCGCATCTGAGCAATCTGAAGTTGAGAACCAATCAATTGCGTGAAGTTTCAAATTCGATCAACAAAAATTATGAATTATTTGAAACCGACGCATCAGAACTACGGTATGAAGTTAAGAACAAGTCAATCATGTAGAATGATGCAGTTTGGAAACCGGAAGCGAATCTCGCAAACAATCCACAAAATAAGCTTTAATTTACACAATTATAAGTTTATAACATAACAAAGAAACCAAAGAAGGAAAAACTATAAGATAACAAACATATCTATAGTTTTAAGGTGTTTGGAGACGAGAAGTAAGAGGGGAACGCGAGTCCACGCAAAAAACTACGGATTCAGAGCTTAAGTGTAGCAGGTATCGAGACCAGCAAGAGAAACTCAAAAGACAAAAAGCAAACTATTACAGAAAGACAAGAAAAGAGAATAAAAGAAACTTACGAGACGAGCAGGAAGATAGAGAGAAGAATGATTAAAGACACAGACTGAAAACCCTAATCTCCGTGGAAGAAAGGCGACAAATTTTGCTTTCACTTTTTCACTTGTTTCTTCTGTCTATGCAAATTTTCCCCCATTATTGCTTTTTTGGTTTTTCACTTTTAGTTTTATTCTGTGGGCGTACAGTTTTTCACAAAGCAGAACTATTTAAGAGTTACTTGCAAGCAAGTAAGAAAGTAAGTGGCGGGGACTGCACGCGCCGGGTCGGATTAAGACAAGCACAAAGAAACCGCACCACAATACAATAACCAGTAAGAATACGACTCCGATGGAGAAGAAGAAGAAGACATCCGATTAAAAAGGAAAAGGTTTTTACATTTCCCCGTGCTTTTATCACTTTCTTGTTTTGTTGATAAAATTAAAAATACATCTAGGCGAAAATCAAGAAACAGTCTTCACTTCACCAAGAGGCTGAATCAAACATTTTGTTGAAGAGAAAATTGAGCATCCAGTTGAACGATTGAGAGATATGAATCGAGAGTAAGGGAGGGAGGGAAGGATGGAAAATCTCAGTGACAATAAATTAATTTACAGCTGTCACTCACCGATGTAGATGAATCGAACAGTTTGGCCAGAAAATGGCGAAAGGGAAAGCGGTAAGACGACGACAAGCACGAGCTGCGACTAAACGACAACGCGGCAGAGGAAGGGGGGAAGGGGAGAGGCGACGTCTCTGACAAGTGACTTCTGGAGTTCGAAGCCACTGGACTCCGACGGCGGCCGGAAGATGGCGACGGTGCACGGAGCAGTTGGTGGAGCGCGACGGCGACAAAGAGAATGGAAGGCCGATGTGTGTCTACGTGGTGCGAAATGAAGAGGCCGATGAGGAATTGAGGAAAGAGGATTGCAACGCAGCGTATTGCAAAACTCAAGACGGACTGAGTTGACCGAGTCGAGTGGTTAATAATTACTAGTCAACAAGTCAACTAGAATTAAATTCCGGTTTAAATGAAATGAAGTTAAAAGTATAAGTCAAATAACTAATTTTATCACAAAAATCACATTACTTTCCAATTTTACCTCTTGACCGGACATTTAATTGCAAGTCATGATAAATGATGAACATGAAAAGAATTTAATGCAGGACTTGGATTTTTTTTTATAGACATAGATATTTTTCTATGAAAAGTAATTATACCTGAGGTACTGTCATTTTAAAATTATACTATGTAGTTGTAAAATTAAGATTAAAATACCCTTATTTATTAGAATGTTTTAAGATAAATATTTCTCATTTAGCGAAAGATAAAATTGTTAGCAACGAACTTGTTACTTTGAATCGTTAAAATTATTATTACCTCCGGTCCTAATTATAAGAGCCAGTTGATTAATTTGAGGAAATTAAAGAAGTAAGTTGAATTAGTTATTTGTCCTAAATAGGTGTTATCTTTTCTAAAATATCCTTACTAATCAAGTATATTGACTAGAACTATTATTGTTAGAAGGGCTATTTTGAAAAAAAAAATGTATAAATATGATAGACAAAATGAATTGGGGTATTATATTTAGAACCAAAATAAAAGTCAAATAGGGTCTTATATTAAGGATGGAGGTAGTATATTTTATATTTATTATACTTTGAATCGTTAAAATTATTATATTTTATATTTATTATTTTTCAATCTGTTAAAAAAAAATTTTATCTACATTAAGTAGTTAAAAAGTAGCTTCCTGCTAAGATGCTCTTAAGAAGTGAAATATCCATTACGTTGGTGTATTTTTTTTAACCTTTAAATCCTTCTAGGCTTTTACTTTGAAAGGGTCTCTCCCTAACTATCATTTTTTCTCCCAAGAAAAATTATCGTTATATTACTTGATAATGTAATATGTATGATGATGCCATATACTCCTTATTAATTCATCACATCTCGTTTTAATAGCTATTCAACAATATCAATATTTTTATATTATTTTTATGCAATTGCTTTTTTTGTAAAAAAAAAATTAGATGAGTTAGGTCTAAAGGCTATGATCTTGTAAGTTTTGAGTCAACTTCTTACCAATCAAACCAATACTTGTTGTTTAGATAATTGTTTTTGTTACAAGAAAAAATTGTTAGAGTTCCAAGTAAATAATATAATTACTAGAAGTCAATAAAATGAATGATAAGTTTTAGAGTATTCTTTTCGTCCTTTATTATCAGATCTACTTTTTTGAATAGATTTGTCCCTTTTTATAATATGCCTTTTGAGTTTGTCTGAACATTTAATGTATTATTACCTATTTTGCCCATAGTTTAATGCATTTAATACATTCTTTTTCTTCATTTATCTCATTATTACTCTTTCACATTTACCCATTTATATATAGGGGTATATTTGGAAAAACAATTACATTTGCTACATATTAATTGCTTTTAACTAATTTTAATTGTTTTCTTAAACCATACAATTTAGTTAAAAAGATCTTATAATAAAAGACGGAGTAGTATTAAATAATAACTTTTCACTTGTTATTGAAATTTACTAGTAATTATTTTTTTCCTTAAAACCTCGGTAAAATTCTCCAATACGTTGAAATGGATTGAAATCTTTTGACCGATCCACCTTAAAAAGCTACATTAAAATGTAACTTGTTCACTGTGTTTGTGAGCCATGAAATCAGACTTCAAGCACAGGAATATTTCATTAATCTAAAAACACTCCCTTTTAATACGAAGTATTAAAAATAAGAAATAAAAATTAGAATTAAGATTCAAAAAATATTGAGTAAAATACTCTGACCTCCCTTTTGTTTTGTTTTAATTACATAGACATCTCCTCTATTTTGATAACATATATTTCAGTCTAAATCATTAATATTGTTAAAGAATATTCTGAAAAGATTCTTTACATACGTTTTTTAATTAAAAAATATTAGAATAAATCTTGTTTCCTACTTTACCCCTCATTATTTAAATATGTAGTTTATCTTTTATTATTAATATGTATTAATAATCTATTTGATATTTTTACAAAATTTAATAAATTAAGACATAACTTTATAATTTTATTGAAAATACATATATACAATTATAAAATATTTTTTACTATATATTTAAAAAATTAACATCACAAGTTTACATAAATAAACAAGATTTATTGTGAAATAAAAATTTGTATTTATAAAATTAATAAAATTTATACTGTGGTAATAATTCAATAGTATAACAAAAAATATTAAAATATTTGTTAAAATTATTTTTAATTTCAAATAAAGATGTACGATATGTTATTACATGATAATTATTAAGTAATATTTGTATTAAAAAGGAACAATTTGGTCAAAATAATAGGTCAATCTTTTGATTTAACAATCAACTAACAGATAGATGAATAAGAGTTGAATCTCAAAACTAGAAAGGAGGTTTGTGTAATATATATTTTGATTTTAAGGAAAGTCTATATAAGTTTCCAAAATAAAAAGAAAGTCTTTGTAATTTAGGTTAAATAGAAAAGACGTTGGTGTATTTTACTCAAAAATTTATTGAAAGAGTGTTTATCATGAGATATTTTTTGTCACATAAGATTAAACAAACTCATGTATGAAATTAGAGAATACCACGAGGAAAAATAGTATCTCTCAAACTCACTCTTATGAGTTTATATAATCTCATAAAACAAACAATAACTTATGCTAAATACTTTTTAATAATTTTTCTCAATTATAATCCCAATCCCCATTCCTTATTTTCAATGTTTCATACCAAATGGGACCCATGAGTAATCCTAGATTCCATGGCATCACCTCCCACATGGATTGACGATAGAAAAAGAATAACCAATATCAATACTTTGAGATATACTAATACAAGTTCAATTTTTTTATTAAAAAAAACACTACTCATATATCATGACTAATCAATAATCATTCTTCCTCCCAAGCATTTATAGGAAGCCATATCCGAGCTCGTTGGAATGCTTGGACCGAGTCACTATGGTGACCAGTTGGTGTAAAGCCATACTTTAAATATAAAAATCAAAACTTTTGGCCAAGAACTATATACATACAATAAACAAAAAAACCACTTTTTTTTTTTTTGGGGTTTTCCTTCATCTTCGGTACATTCTAAGATATTCACCTGACATGCATCGTTCCAATGGTAACAGAATACAAATTGCTTGTGACAGACAACTAAAAAGAACCCACCCCTATGCTTCCTCATATAGATACATATATTATAAATCATAAACACTTGACATGCCTCACAAAACTGCTCAGACCCTAAACACCTTCACCACCACATGTATTCCCCACACTTCTCAAAGGTAAATCTAACACAAGAATAAATCCAATGAATGTATTAAGTTTCTGGGGAGTTGAAAAAAAAAGGAGGATAAAAGACTGATTCTAAACAGACCTAGTTTAATCTCAATACCCAACTATATGACTTGTTTTTTAATCTTCTTTTTCCAACTTTGTTCAAAATGGACCAAAACCACCAGAATGCTAGCAGCAAGAATTGTGTTAGCCTGTGCTTTTTGTAGCCGCTTGCATCGGTTGAAAATGTACTAAACGACGTCAAGATAAGCATTTTTAGACAAATAGCAAGATAGAGAGACCTCTCAGCGACCTGTTTTTGCACGTTTCATTCCACTAGAATTGAATGGAGATACACTACCACTTGGTCCAGGACTCTCTTCTCTGAAATTTGAATTCAGCATAGCTAGTTCACGCAACTGCTGCCTCTTAATGTAGTCTTGTGACTCATCCTGCAGATATATGGAACATTCACATCTCAGCAAACAGATGAACAACTTTTTCGCATATGAGATCACTTAGCAATCTTCTATGATAGTAATTTAACCCACAAACTCAAGCTCAAACAAAGAAGCAAACCATGGCATCCATACCCAAAGAAGGAAAAAGGATAACAGTTAGGTGCAATCGTTTTGGGAGTATTTTTCCAAGTCGCATCAGATCCATTAGTCTGAAAGTAAAATTTGATTTTCAGCACTTTAAATAAGGGAAATACTTGTTTGAGTAATATTTCTCCTAGTCTAAAATGGATTGAGAATTTAAGAGAAGGGTGAGATTTTGCTAAAAATAGAATCATTAGGTAACAATTTGTTCTTATCCCAGGGGTGAAATCTGGGTATTGAGTAGTTGAAATTAAGTGTTTGGATTAGCTCTTTGGAAGTAATTTTACAGTGTACGAAGTAAGTATGTGAGAAGAGTTTTATCCCGACTTAAGTGAAAACACCTTTTTTAAGTGCTTATAATGTTTTCCAAACACCTGGGTTTGGGCACAACAGACAAGCATTGGATTACAAGGGATCCGGGATAGATGTAATTAGTGAAGAGGATGTTACAATTTTTTTTTTTTTGCCCCAAAATTATATGTACAGAAGGTTTCATAATTTTTTATTGGAAAACATTATAACAAACTAAGGAACTTTAGTAACGTCTTGTCCAAAGTAATCGTCCAAAATAACAAAAACTAAAATAAACTTGTGTCTTGATATTTGCTTGAAAACTTAAAAGCTTTTGTGAATCTGAATAAAAACCTGATTCCTTCACATCACACAAGGTGACAAGGCTATAGGAGACGGTGCTTACCACAGGTTTGAGCAATTCTTCTATAATTTCCTGTGCCTGTCTAAGCCTTAAGTCAACAATACTTGCAGGTAAATCAGCCTCAATCAAAATGTGCAGTGGTTCATTGAGATGTTCATAGCCTGGTCTTCCTCTTAATTTCTCTTCCTGAAGATTGAAGAGAAGACTATGATTAAGCACACAATAAAGTCATTTTCAGAGTTTAACAACTATGAATAATATACAGCGATGCATCAATAAAGGCACTGTCTTTGTCAGCAATTTCCACTATTAGACTAGGGAAATGATATCTGGCTGTTCATTACCTTGTCTGGATCCTTTATTGATCCTTTTCCTCTAATAT